TGCCGAGAGAAGGGCGTATGAAGGGACAAGTGCTTTTTCTGCCAAAGCTTAATATGTTGAGTCGTCATGTACAGTACCCTCAAAAATCAATGTAACCGTTTGAAACTCCCAAAGCCTTGAGTTCGTTCAGATGGAAGGAGTAATATCTATTTTAGAGAAAATTGGCTGTACGGTTTACGTGCTAGCGTTTACCACGTTAGGACAGGCAGACAGACGCTTTGCCGTCAATTCATTTTTCGGTAAAAAAGGCCTGCAAAACATAGATTCTGGCTACAATAAGTGATTAGAGGAAGTAATTTACTAAACATAGCAAGAGGATTTATCCATTTTTTCGATACCAGGGCCCGACAATAAGAGCTTTTCTCTACAATTCGCCGTTTTCCGGCGCACGTTTTCCGTTTTCGCTTGCAAACGCATTGGAGAAGCGTTCATGCAAAAATAAACATCACCATCGGAAAAAAAATGAATTAACACTGCAGTAATACTAATACCGTTAGCTGCATCTTCTGCCCTGATGCCGAGTAGCAAAAGCAAGTATATCCCTAATCATTTTACTTTTAAACATACAAGATTCAGGCAAAATCAAATAGGTCCACAGCGTTGTTGCAAGCAATAAAGAGAATATCCATGTAACCAATCAGAATTCAATATGCACGATCACGTGACTGCTCATACCGCGTTCCGTCTGTGAAGTCTTCATAACAACATCCCAAAGAACATAAAAAAATTGAGTAGTATGTACAAGAACGTAGAGAACATCAGAAATGTGAATCGAATCTTTATTCTGAAAGCAATGAAAGGGAAGAAGATTCATACGAAGTTATCCCACAGCAATTTTGTAGATTTGATGAAGTTTCTGCTTTAACCCGTTGGAAACATAGATTATCATTAACAAATATGGTCCAATTTAGCCTTCAGCAGGTATGTAAAGAGGTATACCTTCACTATAAAGAGGTATACCATCGGCAAAAAGATCTAATGTAGCAGGTCTATTGACAGAACTTTTAAAAGGATAATTGGAGAGAATTCTTCAGATACTCCTAGAATGGAATTTCTTTGTTCTTGATGGTCCAATAGCTGAAAATGAAACTGCAATGGTTAGCCAAGAACTGAAAGATAATTGTGATTGTTCAGAAGAAGATCATGCACATTTAGATTTTAATTCTTTTTAGTTCTTTGCAATTTCTTTAGATGCCAAAACGTGGTTACATTAGCTGTAGAAATTGTTTTAGTAGTTTTGTCTGCTTTCAAAAATAAAATATTTGCATACAAACTGGAGTAAAATATCCCAATGAAAATTATTATATTAGTAGCCATATATTATGCAAAATCAAACATGTTCGCAGGTGCTACGGCAAAAGCAAACATGAACAAATTTTCCTATAAAAAGCAAACATCACAGATTTCAACGAAAATTAGAACTGTACTATTTTCTTTAGCGTCTTTTACGGTATCCGTGAACAAAGTTTAATACAAACTTTGGAGCCATTCTTGAGAAAATTGTGAAAATATAGAGATTTCATGCAAATAACCCTCAAAAATCAAAATATCTATTTCAACTCGACGAGCTTTGAATTCTCTTAAATTGATCGAGAAAAATCAATTTTGGAGAAAATCGACTCCGTGGTTTTGAGACTAACTTTGACCTCAAACGGACTGACAGACATTTTGCCGTAAAATGAATTTTAGGAGTCAAAGACCCACGAAATGTGGATTCTGACTTCACAACGTGTTAGAGGATGTAATTTACTACATATACGAACAAGGTTTATCATCATTTTCGTTACCTGAACCCGTCAATACGAGTACTTGAGTCAAAAATCCGCTGTTTTCCGGCGCATGATTCTTTCTTAGGCAGTAAGGGCGAAAAGTAAAAACAAAACAACAAGAAACGAGGGAACAATTGATTTTCTCTCTTTAAAAGAAGAATAGGAATTTCATTAAGTCATGCGAAAGATCAGTCTTAAGAGAAGTATTTAATTTTGAACAGCTTAACATTAAAAAATAATATACATCAGAACATTTTAATGACATGAGTTAAAATTTTCAATTTTCAAAATACAATTTATGTAAATTTTTTGTTACAATTTTTCAGTTAGCATATCTCCATGGTTTAAACTGACAAAATATTTGGTCTCAATATGACTCTTGCATAATATGTATAGGACTACCTAATACCATATATTTTCAAGTACACATTACCAAATAAAAATTTGTTACATAGTGTTATTGATATTACTTTAACTAGCAAGAAGAATAAATCCTAGAAAGAAAACAGTCTTTATAATCTCATGATCTTATGAATGGTGTATTTAAATACATTTCACTGGTCTACAATGTTTTTTTCAAAATTTCAGTTGACTGGCATTCTGGATATTGCTTATTTTGACATGCTGATTTCAAATGTGAAAACGGTTTTGTTCTCCGTGCTCTATATTATTTCTATATGAACATTTGTATTCCAGCCATTAGCAGAGAATTTCTTAAGTAAGCAAGCGTGCAAGCGACAAGCAAGCAGACTGAATCTGGGGAAGGAATATCTATGAATGCTGTAGAAACCATTGGCAAATTCAGGAAGTTTAATTGAAAACGTGAATTTTATTTATTTAAAGTGAGATTATGTCCCCAGTTTGTCTTGCACGCTTTCTATTAAGAGAGGTATTTTTTGTTTAGTTTTTCTTTCAGGTCTGATTGCAACTACAAAGAGACGTCAAAGTATAAACAATCGGGACAGTTTCTGTTATATCTGTGAATACTTCACCATATTTGGGGAAAGGCGCAATATAACGTCATTTGTGAGATGCGCTTACTTCGGGGTTACTTTTGTGGATCAAGACAAGAATTGGGCCCCGCGCAGTATGTCACAAGTGTGAGAAAATTCTGCGTCACTTAAAGTACGGTACGGCCGCCTTTGGAATTCCGATGATCTGGCGAGAACCAAAGGATCATACTAGTGTCTACTATACTATTTTGTCTCATCAATTCAAAGGATATTTTTGATAAAAGCAGACCTAGCATTTCATATCATAGTAACTTTTCTGCAATTTCTGTGCACTCTATCGAGCTTCCCATTCCAGTTTTTTAAGAGTTTACTCCAACTGAAGATGAGGATAGCGATCAGGAATCGAAAACAAGTGATAAAACTGAAGGAATACTTTCCGATATGATGAGGTTTCTTCTGATACTTCTCAATCTTCAACTTCTCATGAGTTTTGTCAGTAAAAGTTAAAAGAACTTGTGCGTGACTTAGGTCTCTCCAAACTTGCTGCTGAAATATTAACCTCTCGATTGGCTAAGAATTTACAGTCCGTAAGAGTTTCATTCTCCTACAATGCAGACGAGGTGTTTGTTTCGTATTTTACTGAAGAGAAGTTTCTTATTGTCAAAATATGTCATTTTTCTCCAGGAATTAGAGATTGCCCAAATGGTTGAAGTTTATTTGTTGACAGTTCTAAGCGTAGCCTGAAAAAGAATTCTACTGCATACTGTCAATGTCTACTTTCAGTTGTCCATTCTGTGTATTTACGTGAGGAGCGAAAAGGTATTAAAACTGTGGTCAAACTTATGAAATACCACGAGCACAACTGGAGAATTTGTGTGGAACTCAGAATGGTTAATTTGCTCGTAGGTCAACAGGAAGGTTTTGCAAAATATCCGTGTTAACTTTGCATGTAGGATAGCGGACCTCGCGACAAGCACCAGTAACCAGTACCTAGAGCCAGTAAGAGTGGCCTATACGTGGGACTCTGAAAGCAGGTATGACAAATACTTTCCGTGATCCAATTGTCAGTAGAGAAAAGATCATTTCTTCTCCGCTCCATATAAAAATTGAATTCATTATGCAGTTCGGTAAATCATTTATCACATATGGTGAATGCTCTCAACGTATAGTTGTTGCATGCCCCTGTTATACTCTCTGCATTGTGACTTGAGAAGATCAAAGCAGGTGTGTTTAATGGACCCCATATTCATGTACTTGTACGTGATGAAGAATTTGCCAGTAACATGAACAACCAGGAACGGGCTCATTGGGAATCATTCGTAGCAGTCATGAAATAGTTTCGAGAAAATTCAAATTACATACGAGAGTCTCGGATCTAATATGATGTCAGCATTTCATGATCTTAGATGTAATATGAAATGCTGACAACATACATCAATATTCATTTTTTATGTTCTTGATCATTTCCCTGAGGAATTAGGAGAAATAAGTGACGAGTAAGATGAGCGGTTCCATCACGATCTCTAGCTCATGGAAGAGCTATCGATGCATATCGGACAAACCTGAGCTGGCAGACTACATCTGGAACATTAATCGAGATTGGCCTGAAAGGTTGCTAAGTAAAGATTGACCTTAAGTTTACAAAAGGAAAAGTTTGAAACGGAAGTTCCTGCATAAAAATAATTAATTTGACCCTTGTGGCTCAAAGTAAAAATATGTCGAAAATTTAGCATTTTTTAAATCAATTTTTCATGACGATATGAATTTCCGTGTGCATTAATTAAGAAATATAGATTGTGTTGGAAATTGACTTTAAAAATGCATATAATGTAAAGAGAAATATGGAAACTTCTACGTATGTCAATTTTTAAAAAAAGTAAAAAAAAGAAAAAGAAAACGAAAAGGAGCTTAAAAAGAAAAAAAAAACAATTTCAGATCTGAAATCAACATACTCAGATTAGTTAACAACAATTGTTAATAGTAATACAACAAACAATTTTTTGGGCCAGTGTTATTTATTTAAGTGCATCAATCCCACCACAAACGTGCTTATCACCATCAACACAACAATAGTCTTAGCATGTAAACAAACTTGAAACATTGCATTTTTGTCTTCCTATATTCATTAAAAAATAAAATGTTCTTCAAAATCCATAAATAATTATGAAGGACATTTGTTAGAATTTTTTGTTTCATCTGATAGTAAGCCTGTTCTGCCAAACTCTCCTTATCATTTCCTGATAAAACAAGATTGCATTAATACAATATAATAATTTATTATGTATAATTTGTGAAGCACCCATACAAAATATTTTACTATGGTTTTACTCATTTAATGAGTAAGTTTAGAAATCATAAGTTGCAAAGTTACATGAACAAATAACTTGATAAATTGTAATGGAACTTGGAACTTCGGTACTCCAAGAGCTGAAAGTCACACAGTGACTTTCTACACAGCAACTTTGGTACTCCAAGAGCTGTAAGTGAAACAGAGAATCCATTCCAAGCAGGGCATATCCATGCTTTCCAAAATTGGAAGTAGTACATAAAAATGAAACAATAAAGAGTGCCACTTGCATATAACACTCTGTTCACGAGAAAATATTTATCAGCATCAAGTCTTTAGATTGAGCACAAACATTTCATGTCCGAAGTGTGACAAGAGCTTCAAATGGCTGTATGGATGGAGTGACACCATCTACGACTTCTGTCGTTGGTGGCAAGGTATCAGGAGGTACATTAAAGTTAAAATTTTGGAGCAAAGATGACACAAAGAGGAATACATTGGACTTTGCTAATGTTTCTCCCATACATCGATGTTTACCTAAAAAGATAAAAAATACATTAAATGATATGTAAATAATTGATAATAGACAAATCGTTTATTTCTGAGATAAGAATAAAAATTGTAATAATAAATTACTGTAAATATTATTTGAAAATATAACACTTATTTACCAAGTCCAAATGGGGTGTACATATCTGGGATGAATACTTTTCCTTGTGAATCAATGAACCTTTCTGGGCGAAATGCTTCTGGATCTCCCCAAAATGTTTTGTCCATGAGAGTGCAGTGAAAATTACAGATAACCATTGTATCCTAAAAACATACAATATTTATTAAAAAATAAGAACAAAGACAAATATTTATTTTTATTTGTTGCCTTGAATGTACCTTTGGAATATTGTATCCTTGAATTGTTGTGTCCTTGAGTGCTCTATGAGGTATGCTAAATGTTCTTCCCATGAACAATCGAACTGACTCAAGAACAATAGCTTCCATGTAAGGCATACTGTACAGAATTAGAATATTTGTCACTTTACAAAAAATAGTTAAAAACTAGGCAGAGATATCCAAATGAAATTAAGAGACAATCAATACACAGTAAGTCACAGATTCTCAATGTAGAGAAAATATATTCTTCATTTTTCAGTTATGATCCTTTGTGGTCAGATAGGGCAACATAATCAGGTACAAGTGTTCCAGAAATTACATACATAGGTTTATCATAAGAGGAATTTATAATGGCAGGGAAAAAACAATGTAAAAGTATCTTGCTATGGATGTATTTTCCAGAACTTTTGCCCCAGAAGATGGGATCCTTGACTGTCTATAACTTTATCAGTAAACATCTTATCAGTTTTTTAATAATATAGTCTATCACACTGAAGAAAGAAAGAAAGGGAAAAAAAAACCAAAACAAAAAACGTACAAAATATTTTTGCAGTAACATACTGTTTCAAATAAGGATACTATATTTTATGTAATTGAACAGAATACAAATTACACATAACATGCTTAATTGCAGAAATATCATCTTACTTTGGGCGATCATTCAAAGTTGGAAGTCGATTCCGTCCAACCACAGCATCAATTTCTGCTTGGGCCTTTTTTTGTACTTCTGGGTATAAAAGAAGGTACAGAAATCCAAATCCTAGTGATTTGCTAGTTGTTTCAGATCCAGCCATGAACAGGTCCATGCAAATGGCAAGGAGTTGAGATTCTGTACAAATCAAATTTTACTAATGTAAAATTCATAAAATGAAATTAAAAAAAAAGAATTACAGGCACATCTTCATTCTAATTTTTTATACTGACAAGAAAGCATTTTATTTAAAACAGGTGTGAAATTTACTTCAATTCTTTTAAAATTAATAATGAGCATTATTGCCACAATTTCTAAAATCACACACATATTTCATATCTTTATTTTTTGAAATTTCAATGGTTTAAGTGAATAAGTTTTCAGTCATTGAACTGAGTTAATTGTGTTTATAAGTTCATTATTTAAAACAAAATTAAGCAAAGCAAAACAACACATTTACTTAGGGCAGTGACAGATCCAGCAGATCATTGGTGGAGGGAAAAGGGGGGCGCCATAGATTTTTGTAAAGTAATAAACATAATTGATATTATATTGTACATTATTTTTGTACTGTATATATGATGATATACAATATTATTCTTTAAATAATTACATAATTCTAACATAGATATTTAAATAAAATTTGCCAAATAAAGAAAGATAACAAATGAAAACTCTAGGCTTTCTCCGGGAGTGCCATGGCCACTTCTGGATGCTCAGAGTGGAGGTATCAAAAACGAGAGTTACAGGTCAGAAACTCGTAGTCTAGCATTTGCTCTATTCATAAATCCTGGAGATCTCCATATTTATTGTTCTATTATGAATTTGAAATGTTCCTGCAATACCCGCAAGACTGCATAATTGTTCCCATTTAAAATTACTTAAAAACTACTAATATTTTATGACTAACGTTTCTATGACAGCATGCTGCTCACACAAAACTCCATATAATAAAACTACCAAAACCAATGTTTTCTAGAATTATTCCAGAGTACCCTAAAGGGAACCGGTTAAGAATGGTGACAATCAATTTGTGTTGTCGAGAAGAATCGAATGACCTCTGTAAAAGCCGTTAAGTCAACCAAAACGCGGTTTAGTAGATTACCCCCACAACAAAAACACACATTTAGAGAAATTTCTTAAAATCCTATGGATGGACCCGCAAAAAGTGATCGGTTCTCCACCAGGAGGCCAAGACACGACGAATGACACCTGATTTATCTTGATTGGTGGACCAGAAGGGGTCTAACCGTGACGGACAGTCGACGCGGGTTATTCGATTACTATTCAAGGATGTGTTGATGTATAGTAAAAGCTTGTAGGGGGTTCAAGCCAACGTCGTAAGGAGAAAACTAGTGGCGCTATAACAGTATATAGTGCATTCTTGCATTATTTGTAACTTTTACAGTTTTCTAAAATTCAGAGTGCTGCGAAAATGGAAGCTTTGCCATTTTTATTAGCGTTCTATAGAATAAAAATAATGTAATGTAAAAATGTAAATATAAGTACAAACATTATGTGATTATATAATAATAATAATAATAATAATAATAATAAATAATAATAATAATAATAATAATAATAATAATAATAATAATAATAATAATAATAATAATAATAATAATAAATGTCTTTAATTCTGGAGAGACTCAGGCCATAAGGTCTGCTCTTCCACCTAATCACTTGAATATATTTTCATTTTCATAATTACAATTCAGAAGTTCGGGGGCAAATAATGTTAACTGACGTTTCGTTTTCACAAAATAGTCATATTTTTGAAAAATTGTACATGACTTCATTTAAAGGTATGTCTTTGACGAACTGAATACAAAAAGAAACAATCTTTATCTTCAATATAGTAATTGTAGGGCGACGCCGAAAAAATTGAAACATTTGCTATTTTCGAAAATTCAGTTTCAACGAGTTCAACGAAAATTAGACCTGTTCCTTTGCTTTAACCGAGAAAATATTAATCTAAAATTTTGGAGCCATTTTAGAGAAAATTTTGAAAATTCTGTTAAGACTCCATGTAAAGTATCCTAAAAAATCCGATTCAGTTTCCAGTTCAGACCGTCCGGGGAATACCAATTTTGGAGAAAATCGTCTGAACGGTTTACATCCTAGCGTTGACCCAAGACGGATAGACGGTCGGACCGAAAAACGTTTTGCCATGAACCAATGTTTGGTATAATGGACTTACAAAACGTGGATGCTGACTACACGTGTTAGATGAAGTGATTTACTACATACAGCAACAAAATGTATCCACTTTTTGATATCAGGGTCCCAGTAGGAGTTTTTCTGACAAAAAGGCGCCACTTTCCGGACTAGATCATTAGAGTACTTTCTCGTACATACGTAAGTATGAAGAAGGCGAGAACGTAATTGACGTTCACAAATGACGTTTCAAGCATTAATTCTTGTTCAAATTTAAGGATTTTAGATGGAAAATGTGTGTGCAACATAATAAAAAATAAAATGTATTGTTTTCAGTTATCTTTTTCGGTTTTATGAATAAATTGTTCAAAATTTTGGAAATCTTTGGAATTTGGTAGAATTTTTTCTCTATCGCAGAAATCGTAGGAATAGGGCTTGACAAAGAGTAAATTAATAATATACAGCATTTGTTTGTTTAGTAAAATGTATGAGTCTCTCGCGTAGTGTGGGAATGAGATGGAGCGATGTTGATCCATAAACCTGTAAAATTAATAAACGAAACACGGAAGAATTAATAAAGACTACAATACGGGAAAAATGTGGACAGTGAAAATATTATATTTTCTGCCAAATATAATTCGTTTTGTCATAAACAATTTATTGATTACTTTGGCTACTGTGTGATGACTTGGAGATGGTATATGGACTTAATAATTTCAAAGGGTTCATACCTTTCACTATATTTGTGTTTAAATGCCAATTTATGCTTACCAGAGAAACTAGATTTCTTCTTTTCAGAATTAAGTATCTGGAGGTACACATCCATGAAATCCCGGGCATCGCCAGGTTTAAAAGTTGCTTTGTGTTTATCCAATTCAGCCTTCGGAAGAAACATGTCTTCATTTGTAACATTCTTGGATGAAAATCAATTAAAATGCATGACATTCATGTTGTAATTTTATATTTAGTACGCACCTTAAGGAATTCCCAAACTTTTTGGTGAATATAAATGAATTGCTTATAACCAGATAGCTCAGGTGCCACGAATCGTAAAAATGGAAATTGACTAAAGAGACACCCTACCATATCTATATTTGCGAAGAGTTCTGTTAATAAGTTTTGAAGTTTTTTCAATTCTATGTCATCTGCGCTGTAACGAATTCCAGCCATCATAGACCACAAAGTATTAAGTACGAAAACTCCAAACAAGTTGTGCATGCTGACTAAAGCCCCGGAGCCGCCATTGCTAGGAGATGTTACTTGTTGGCGTAATGATAGTACGAGCTCTCTGGCTTCGCCCTCAATTAGCTCGCTCATTGTGCGTCTTCCAAAGCCGAACTCCCGTAGGTGGCGCAGGATAAAACGTCGCTGTTCCTGGAAAAAGATAATTATAAAATTAGAGAATTACATTTCCTAAAGTAATCGATATAATCATAGAGACAGACAGGAAAAGAGAGGGAAAGATGTTGTTGAGGAAAAAGAAGGCGCGTCTATCACATCTTTCCAATGCTGGCTTTGTTGCAATTTTAACACGATTTTTAACTGCGGAAAGAACAGCAGTTTACAGGAAAAATATTTGTTATGGTTCGCGTCGGTTCATTTCGAGTATCAAAGCTTTTGGTCCTATTTCATTCTAATATTGATTTAATGTAGTATTGTATTATTTCAACATCTATTCTACTAACGCTTCATCCTTGTCTTGAAAAACCCTTAACGAAATAATGCCGTCTAGTAAAATGTCTCGTATTTTTAGTTTCTGAAAAGTCTTGCGCCGGCCAGGCTTTGAACCCGAGAAATCCAACTCTCCACGCACTAGCTTTAACTAATCACTTCTCCGAGTCCACAGGAGGAAGACGCGTGGAATGCATTCTCAATGTTTCGTTGCTTCTGTCATCTCAGAAAATTCTCTTAATAATCACAGAAATTACTTATATTTTAAACAAGTGGTACTTAACAGCACATATTCTCTCGCATAATTTGCTACGAATCTGCAATATTGAATTGAATTGATATCTTATTTTACGTGGCGAGGCTCGGGCCATGAGGCCCGCTCTCTCGTCTGACCACGCAAATTTCGCAACGCTCCTTTCACCAACTTGCAGAGAAAGGAGATATTTCTTGGGCGGGAAACAGGCGATTTGAATTTATCTCCGAGGCTACCTTTGGGCTTGAGGATCTTTACCTGCAGTAAATGTTCTAATATGGGACAGCCGGCTCTACTTCCCACCGAAGGAATGTGTACGAAGGATTTTTTCGCCCTTAAAAATCCTTCGTACACAATTTCTGACGCTGCATGACACATTTTCTCTTTACTACGCGAGTACGAGTTAGGCCGGAAAGTAAATATTATGTCTTGAAATAAGAACATGAACATTTTTTTAAAAACAATATTTGTTTCGTGTAATTTTTACTTAACTTCAAGGTAATTTATATTTTTCTCTCGTAAACGGCTCCAACTTTTTTTTACATTTTCCATCGGAAAGTTCTCAAAACACTTAAGATCGGCGCAGGTCACTTTATGGAAGAAATCTCTATATTTTCGAAAATTTCCGAAAATTAAACAATGCAAAACTACACCTTTGATAGAGTTTTTACTTTCTTGCCTTACTAAGTATGTAGTAAAGAGAAAGTATTTTAATGCTGCGGCTGATTTTTCGTCAGAAAAACTCGTATTGTGGGGCCGTGTTACCGAAAAAATGGATAAAATGTGTTCCAGTATGTGGTAAATTATTTTATTTAACATGATGTGCAGGAAGAACTCATATTTTATGAGTATTTGATACTGAAAAATTCTTTCTGTCTATGGGCAATGCTAGCGCGTAAAACATTTAGGCGATATTCTCCAAAATGTTTATTTCTCAAGGCATTGCGAGGTTGAAACGGATATTTTGATCTTGGGGATATTTTATATTAATTGTCGAACACATTTTATAATAATTCTCAACAAAGGCATCAATATTTTTTATTAAACTTTTTCTTAGCATATCATAAAAGGTACTTAAAATGGCTCAGTTCTAATTTTCAATGAAATTTTTATTTTTTGAAAATTGAAAAGATTTAAAATATTTTTCGGAATATAAAAATCAACAGTAATCAGTAGATTATTATCAATCAATTGTAAAATAAACGATTATTCCAATCATTTTTATTGATATAGACCTTTCTATCTCTAAGCATGATCTCCTGATCTCCTTTATGAATGTTATATATTTGAGAATACTTAGTGGTGTTACAAAAACATTTTTAAACAAATATTTTATTAGTCAAAATTGTATATTTAAAATTCTCAAAAAGAATCTATGATAAACTATAATTAAATAGCTAAAGGAATGCATATAACTAGTATTAAAGGATAACACCTCGCGTATAACATTGTCAAAAAAATTAAGAAGTACCATATCAAATGATAATATGTAATAAACTACAAGGTGTAGAAGGATTTTCATGGTTGGTCTTGAAATGTTGAAAATGAAATTCTTTGAACTTGTTAAAATTGCAAATTTAAAAGTGTTTTATTTTTCTTCAAACACTCAATGTCAAAAAACAGTTAAAACTATGTTTGCAGTGCTATGATGTAAAGTATTCTATGCACACTTTCTTGTGTTTTGAGATCACTAATATACAAGTCATTCACGTTGAATTATGAGTAGAGGTGAAAGCCAAAGTTTTTGGCAAAAATTTGTAAGAAATTAGCCACATGTAATAAAAATTGCTTGGAAAGAAAAATCCGCTGAATAACTATACTATTAGGCTTCATTGTGCCGTCGTGCAGGAATCGACTTACTGTTGCTAGAGCACTGGAAGACGAGAACGATTATTTGAATAACTATATTCCCCACTGAGCTCTAGAAAACGTGTTCAGATAGTGAAGCTACATTGATGTCTAGAAAAAAAAATAACAATATAAGCATTTACTGAAAGGATCAGAGTAACAGTGCAAAAAACCGATCGAGATTAACGCAGGAAGCTGAGGTACAAAACTTGTTACAGGCACATTTTAGAGCATGGGGAAGATTGAGTTCATCTGTGAGGGCTGGCGGATGAGGAGTAAAGTGGGAGCCTGCTCCCTCTAAAAACCTGCGTTCGAATGCCAGTGTCGCGTGGCCACAGACTGCTGGCGCCCGCGCAAGCACAATGACAAAGCTCCGACGCTAAAGGAGGTCTCAGCAGGAAAGGCCTGCAGAACAGCTTCACTTCGTGGGGACTTGTGAGGAATGCTACTCGTGAGCTCGTCGCCCCCCGTTCCACTCCTGCGACGGTTCAGATCATGCCAAACTGGCCCTGCTGACCTCTCTTCACCCTAGTCGGTTCAGATCGGCCCAAACTGGCCCTGACGATCCACGTTTCGTGTGTTCGAATCCCTGTGGTTCGGAGTGGCACATGATCCACGTTTTGTGTGTTATTACCAAAAAATCGATTGACGGTAAAAAGTCACCGTCCGTCAATCCATCTGTGCGTCTTTCTGTCCAGTTGTGATCAACGCTAGCGCCTAAAACCTAAACCGTTAAGACTATTTTCTACAAATTGTTATGCCCTGATCTAAACTAATTCAAAATACTACCATTTTGAAGCGTATTTATGATGCTAGGAATTTATTTCCTTAATGAAATCTGTTCCTTAAAGACTGATCTTGGAATGAAGCCATGTAAAAATTGTCGAAAATAGTATGTTTAACATAATTTTGCATGAAATATAGGCAACTTTTAAACAATAATAAACCGTCAACAATATACGTCTTTCAATGCTTATCGGATGTTTACAAAACAATTGAAAACCGTCGCGATGCGTAATTTCTTCATGGAAACTCCAGCGTTTTCTTACAGCCAGTCTCTTGTGCCCATCAGTTGACAATGACACTATTCTCAACGTGACTTGCAGATACAAATACAAGCAAAACGCTAGCCTTATTAACTGTACGCTGGCCCCCTGGCTTCCCTTCGTACGTACTGGCTCCCTAACTTCCTTCCGTTCGGGGCAGCCATTCGTACACAAGACAAAGGGTCATACGAATAAAAATGAGCACTTGCTTATGAGTACTTGCTCTGGAGCAAAGTGGGTCTACTCCGCGGCACTGAGCAGAAGATCCATTTCGTATGAATAAAAACTTCGTATGTCTCCGAAGAA